TTATAGAAGTCACATAAAAATAAGCTTTAACTGTATGAACTTCCTCAGCTTTTTTTAAAAAAAACCTGTTAAGCACACTAGCAATAAATAAAATCTGCAAGTTTCCTTATAAACAATAATTCCTAGTGTCCAGCATTATTGTAAACAGTACACATACATAAAATGCAGCCTTTAAAAAAAGGAAAGAAAGAAAGAAAGAAAGAGAAGAGAGTCAGTTACAGGTTCGATTTCCCATATTGATTTTCTACTATTCAGAAGAAACACAGACCAATAAGTACAGAGCCAATCCTATTTTTTGGCAACTCATATCTTTAAAAACTAAACAGTAACAGTGCAATTAAGGAATGCAAAGAATCCCTAGTGCAATAAAGAAGAAAAGCGCAGGCAATGTTGCTGATTTGAGCTGACTGCTTCCAAGTTATTTTCACTTGGGAGCAACAAGGACATACTTTACTTTTTCTTTCTTTTCATGATTTTTTTTAAAAAAGCAGTCAAAAGCCATGGTTTTAATGCCCCAATTTTTTTTTCTTAGGACTTCCTCTTCCTTCCATAGGCCACCACGGATTCAATGTTCCGCGTTTATGGATGGGCCATCTGTCAAAATGCCGAGAGCAGTCCACCAGTCAAGGTTCCCATGATTTCATTTCCACTCCAATGGCTGGTTTAGGTAAACAACTTCACCTAGGCCTGAAGACACTTGGGACTGCATCCTAGATTTCCTCAAGGTGTAGTTCTGTGCTAGACACAACCTTACATGTCGATAAAGCACTGGGTGTGTGTGTGTGTGTGTGTGTTATCAACAGTCAGCTTTCAGCTTATCTAGGGAATTATCAATTTTGGTCAAGGTCTTTTTGATGCGCAGAGCTGTTAATCTTGCAGATGGGTTGTGATACCAGCATTCTTTCATCAACTTGGCAAGGGAAGTTAACGTCTGGAAAGAAACAAAACAGGCATATTGAGGATCAGTATTCTCAGGTTTAATTTAATGACCTTGAAGAGTTTACTGAGACACCACTCCTGCTGTGGCTTAGAAAAATAAACTATGATTTGGCACAAAGTCTGAATTAACAGGGTTTCAGCCATGACACCAGGGTCAGAAACCAGAGTCTGACATGATATCTGAATCGATAAACCAATGGAGAGCAGAAGGCATGAGTGGCTCTAAATCACGGTTTACCTGAAAACTGGAGCCTCAATCTATTTGTTTGGGTTGTAGAATTTTGCTCGTACAAATCAAGATTTGGTACGAACAGAGCCACTGTGTGATCCCCCAAAATGTCAAATATCAAGACTAATGAACATTGTGTGTATATATCTATGTGTGTAAATGAGCTTTTTCTCTGTCCCAATAAAAAGGCTTCTTCCTCCACAAAACTTTTTAGACTGTGTTTGTTTCAGTGAACCTGCCAGAAAGGGCAGGACAGCTGCTTTACATAAGAATAGGACACACAGCTGAGTAAATAAATATAATTACCATTGTTGCATTTCATTTGCCCCACTGTCTGAATATAGGGCAAAATACCAGATGGTTAAAAATAATTCATGACAGATTATCACATAGAAAATATTTTACAATATGTGTTGGCATACTTACAGGGTCTGAAAACCATCTGTTGGGAATGTTTGGCCTTTGCTGATCCACACAGACTACTTTCCTCATGTCTTCAAAACTAGGGTCATTGGGAACTACGTCATAAAATGGAGGTTTATAATCTTCCACAATACCTACAACCAAAAAGAGGGGGGAAATTCACACACAATTTGAGATCCTATAGCTACATCACTATATTTTAGAATCCTCATTAGTAAAACAAAGTTCATTATATGATTACAATAGTATTAAGTTTAGTCCATGTGAAGCAGTTGTGACCTTTCACTGATATTATGAAATGAAATCCTAATAGTACAATACAGTGAAGGCATCAAAATCACTCAGTCCCCGCTCTCCCTCCCAGTTCAGCACGCAGCTCTCAACTCTTGCAAAGCAAAACACATGTATTGAAAAACAAATAATGTAACTAAGAATCCCAAAGAGCCTTGGTAAATATTAAAAGAGATAAGTTAAAAATTCCTGTACCCACAGTCTATACCCAAAACAGCCAATATTTAGAATTATACAAGATGAACCACAGTTCAACAGAAGACATCTAAGTTATACCTTGCTCATCCACTGCAAGCTGCATTCCAAAACAGAACATTCACATCCTTTATGAAGTAAAGATGCTGGCTCCATCTTGTAATATGTGACTGAACAATAGAAATGACCAGGGTATCCGGCATTTGCATAAAAGTTCAGCATTCTATTTTGGTATCTTCACCATTCTGGTCACCCTATGGCAGGACCACTGCGGCCTTCCAAATGCCCTTAGCCTGCAATTTCCATGAGGTCAGCGTTTGGGAGAGACTAGGCCTTAGGAGTATATGTGGGGGTGGGCAAACTGGATCTGGCAAACCATCAGGACAAGATACAGTGGTGCCCCGCATAACAAGCGATTCGTTTAACGACGAATCTGCATAGCGATGTATTTTTGCAATTGCAAAAGCGATCGCATTGTGATGTTTCTAATAGTAAAACATCGCTTTGCGAGATCGGTAAGTGTTTCGCTTACCGATTTTCGCATAGCGATGTTTTTTTAAACAGCTGATCAGCAGTTCCAAAATGGCCACCAGGTAAAGAAAATGGCTGCCCACTGTGTTTTTGCGCCCTTTCCTCGCTTACCAGGCAGCGAAAATGGCGGCCGCATGGAGGATTTCCGCATAACGGTGAGTTTTTTGCCCATAGGAACGCATTAAATGTGTTTTAATGCGTTCCTATGGGCTTTTTTGCCCCGCACAGCGACGAATCCACATAGCAATGATTTTTTCGAAATGGATTATCATCGCTATGCAGGGCACCACTGTATTATATTCAGGAAAACAGAAAACAAAGGGACTTGAAACACTACAGCTCACACACGTGGCTCTAGAATTGTGCATTCAAAACACTTCCTTGGACGTTAATGAAATCCCGTATTAAGCCCCTCTAAGTGCCATCTTCTCCTTCTCCAGCACTTTCTAGCCATTACTTTTATCGCATGCTCACTGGGGATACTAACTCATCCATCACTTTGGACAAAAATGTCATAACATGCTCTTCAGCGACAGAACAGGAAAGGCAACCCATGTAAATAAATACCCTAAGAATTTGGAAAAATCAAATGGCCACTCCTGAGGACCCCCGCTGAAACTCCACTCCATTCAGCATGCATGATGTCTCTGCCAGCTCAGTGAGGCAGTTTTTACTTTCTGCCAATCCTCACATTCAGGTGTCAGAGCTATCAATTAGTGAAAGATCCTTTGCTATTTCTAATTTTATTAATATATAGTTTCCAAATCCAGTGACATAAACGTATAAAATGCAGGAAATACTCTACAAAACCAGGTAATGCTCAGAAATTATTCTTGATTTACAGAAAATGTTTATTTCCTTGAGTTGCCAAAGGTCATACAAAATTTTCCTTCCTTTCTACTTGAGGCAGGCCACACTGGATTCCCACCCCAGGACGTTTGTGCTGGTACCTCATCAGACTGCTAGTTTTGGCTGATGAAAAGTCCCACGAGTGGCTGAGCCCCTGTGTCCTTTAGAAATCCTCCTTATGACAAGATTTGGTCTTTGTAGAGAAAGGGAAGCTGTTAATAAACAGTGCCAAACCTTTGATGGGGTACTTTAGTCAGTGGTTCCTAGTCTGGAACTATTGTTCACAGCAGCTTCCTCATCCTGGCATCTTCTAGATGAGTTGACCAGCAAATCCCATCATGTCTAGTTGGCATGACCGTGGTAGCTAGTGATTATGGCAGCTGTAAATCTAAGACACCTGGAAGGTGCTGGATTTTTAAAAACTGGCTTATAGCATGCAAAGCTTAAAGCACATAGATCACTCACACCACCTATGCTTTGCATGGTGAAGGTCCTAAAGCTTCAATCCCTACTACAACTTCCGTGCGCCACCGGGCTTCCACGACTCAGACACTTGCCTTTGGGGTGCATCCATATTTCCTCACATTTACATCAAGGGTGGAAAACTGGAAACTTCCAGATGTTTTTGGCCTACAATCTCCCATAACCTCTAGTCAGCATAGACAATTGTGAGGGTTTATGCCGTTTCAGTCTCAAAACATCTGGGTAACCACAGCTGCCCAGCCCTGATTTACGCAGTGGGCGGCGATGGATGACGGTGGCGCCAGATGATGGCAGCGGCTAAGGTAGGGAGAGGAAGAGGGTGGGGGATAAGCTGTAGGGGTGGGTGGCTGCCTATCAGCCTGACAGTCAGCTGAACGGTACAATTGTGAGGGTTTATGCCGTTTCAGTCTCAAAACATCTGGGTAACCACAGCTGCCCAGCCCTGATTTACGCAGTGGGCGGCGATGGATGACGGTGGCGCCAGATGATGGCAGCGGCTAAGGTAGGGAGAGGAAGAGGGTGGGGGATAAGCTGTAGGGGTGGGTGGCTGCCTATCAGCCTGACAGTCAGCTGAACGGTGGGCCCGTATGGGGGTGGGTGGCTGCCTATCAGCCTGCCTGTCAGCTGAACGATGGGCCCGTAGGCAGAATGGGAAAGCCATAGGAAGACTAGCTTTCCCTCTTTTCCTATGGGTGACAATTAAAATGGGGAAATATTCGTCCCTTCGTGTTTGTCGGGGTCTCTGGAACTGACAAATATGAAGAGATGAATATTTAATGGATCAGCGATTTCTTACGAATGTCGTGATCCATTTTTACTGTAATGCGCTCTATGTGGGGCTACCCTTGAGAATGATGTGGAAACTACAAACGGTCCAGAATAAGGCCACCAGATTAACTCGGGTGAAAAAATACCACCACTTTCCCCCCATTTTGATGGCCTTACACTGGTTGCCCATTCGCTTCTGCATTGACTTCAAGGTGTTAATGCTTACATATAAAGCCCTAAACGGATTAGGACCTCGATACCTGACAGAGTGCCTTCTCCCACCTAGCTCTACCCGTGTCACTTATTCTAGTCAGGCTGGGCGGCTGAGGGGCTTGACCCTGAGAGCGGCCCGGAAGAAAAGAACTAGAAACTGGGTCTTCTTGGGAGTGGCCCCTCACCTCTGGAACACCTTGCCCCTGGAGATTTGCCTGGCACCTTCACTGGGAGTTTTTAAGAACAAGTTGAAGACTTGGTTCGTCAGGCAAGCCTTCCACCCTTCCATTTCTTAATTCCCTATGTCTTATCATCTTGGACCTTTCTATACTGTTTGATATTGTATGTTTTAAATTTTGTTTGTAAGCTGCCCAGAGTAGATTCATTGAATCTAGATATTAAATAAAATAAAAATACTCTCCCAGCAAAGCTATTCATATCGCTAACCAAATCCTCCTCCTTCATTCAAAGCATGTACATGCTGGTGCCCCTTTTTTATACCTTAACTCTCACTCTAAGTTAAAACAAGAGGTGAGCTCCATTCTTTGCTTCTGCAAAGAGAATTTTGTTTTTGCTTGCCTCGAACTGAGCCCATTAAACACAATAAGCAGCATCTTCTCCACACATGCACAGCAGTACAGTGCCTGAAACAGAGTTTCTCTGTATTTGCTCCAGTAATCACATGCATGCAGTTATGCAAGCCAGAGAATATATAGAATACTAGGTAAACAGAGGTCTTTCCTTCAGATAGGGACCAAATGGATTACCAAAGATTATGCAGATTGCATTGTACAGAAAATCTGCTGACACTGTCAAAACTGTTGACTTTTTCATATCAACTCATCCATACCACTGTTGTTTCATTATACAAGGAGGAGGTGACGAGTGGGATTATGCTGCAGCATTTACTCATTCTTGATTACAATCAAACACGGTCTTGATCAGCTTTTACATCTACAGTACACTCAGATTTATACAACTGATAATTGAGTTATTGTATATTTTAAACTTCCCTACCGACTGTATTACAGTAGACCCAGCAGTTGTCTGGCTTTTACTCTATTTCGCCCCTCCCCTTTTTAATTAACAGAGCCAATTTTTAGGGTGATCCTAGGAGACTGAATTTGGCTTCAGAACTATTAAAGAAAGCCAGGAAGGCACCATAAACTAAACTACCCAGTTGTTTTGAACCTTGACATCTTTCCCCCCCACATTCCTCCAGAAGTAAAGGCAACATTTAAAACAGAAATATCCCTGAAGCCACAACATGCAATCTATAAAATCAGCAGCAAGCAGAGTTTAAAGGGCCACGATTTCACCCCCCCCAGCCCCAGCACCCCTCAACATGGGCACCCAAGGCCAGCAGTCCTAAAAGCCACTGTTGCAGGTGCCTCCGTGGAAGGAAGCGTCTTGTCGTTCCTCCACAAACAGGTTCAGGATGGGCCCAGTAGGGGAAAGGCAGCAGGCCGGCTCGCTGGCTTGGCCCATCTGGCCCTCCTCCACTGGCCTGGGCTCCACAACGGTTTATCGCACCCCACCGTGTCCCAACAAGGCCGTTTGCTCTTTCCTCCAAGGCCAGTCCCCTTCTCCTCGCCTCCTCCTGCTGTGGGCGAGAGGCAGCGCCTGGGCACCCCAGTTGGCCATGAGCACCCACATCCCATGCCAGAGCCAGCAAGCCAGGATTGCAGCTGGGGGCCCAGGAACAGCTGTGGGTGCAAGAGAGGCACGGGTGGCGACAAAGGCGGCGGTCGCGGAGTCCGGAAGATAGTGGTGAGCCAGTAAGGGAGCCGTCCCCACTTGCTCCATCCCTCCCTTCCGGGGGCTCCTGCTGCCACCTCCCCACCCAGCCTTCTCCCCTCTCCAGTTGTCTGGCCCCAGGGCAGATCCACCACCTCCCCTCGCCCCCTCCTCCCTGAGCCAGCCCAACTGTCTGATGCGCATGGAAGAGCATTGCTTGGCCACGGAGGTGGCTCATGGGGTGCCTGACCTGCCTCCTCTGTCCTGATCCCTGGTGTGCCTCCCCAAGCCGGTCCGGAAGACCCGCCTGTCCTGATTGGCACAAAAAGACCTTTCCGAAAGGTGGTGGCCGCTCTCTCGCCGCCATGCTTTCCTTGCTCCAAGGGCTCCCTTCTTCTTCCCTGTTCCCTCCCCACTGAGAGCAGCCCTTCCAGGCTTCCTCTGCCCCTGCCTTTCTATGCTCTGCTGCTTTCCTGACTCTCTATATATTGGCCTTCGCTACACCTGAGCTGCCTGTGCTGGGAATGGCTGCTAAGATGCAGGATCCAGGGCAGTCTCCTTCTCTGAAGGCCCCGATCCCCTTCCATCTGCCATTGAATGAGAAATGCAGGTTACACACCAGGGCACGAATCCTGATGCCTTGGAGAGGTGACATCACTGCCTCCTCGGCTCTGGAGAGGATGTCCTGATCTCAAACCCAGTCCTTCCTCCAGCTTGCCTTTCCCCTCTTTCGGCACCCAGGGGGGCCTTTCAGAAGGATGCCCTCTGAGGGGAAATGGATCAGACCCTCGGCTCTCCTGCTCGCTCCATCGTCGAGATCTGAGGCCTTGGGTGCTCTAGGGCCTCTAACGACAGCAAGCGTGCATTAAGGCTGGGGATGAGTGGGAGACCAATCCTGTTGCCAGGCACTGTTCAGGGAGGTGGGGGCAGGGAGGAATAGGTCCTAAAGTCTGGACCAAGCCAGATGTGGCCCACGGGCCATAGTTTGGAGATCGCTGCTTTAAAACAACACACTCCTGAATTGAAGGGCAACTTATCTAGTGATATATTTTATCTACAGTGGACCCTCTATTTACAGAATTAATCCGTATTGGAACAGTGGCTCCAGGTTGAAAAGTCTGTAGGTCGAGTCTCCATTGATCTACAATGCATTGAAAACTGATTAATCCCATAACTGGCAGTTTTTGTTCCATTTTTTGGTTTTTGGTTTTTTGTTTTTTTCTGGTCTGTAGGTCGATTCTCCAGCTGCAAGTCGAACCTAAATTTTGTGGCCAAAGAAGTCTGTAACTCGAAAAGTCTGTAAGTCGAGGGCCCACTGTACAGGAGACTGAGGCCAGATTTTGAAGATAGGCGTCTGGATTATAAGGCTTGGGGTTCTAAGCCTCACCTGCTAACCTTGCATTTCTGAGCTCCCCTCTCTTCTTAAGACGGGCATTGCTGATGAAGGGCAGAAGTTACAAATCACAATACAGTCAACCCTCAACTTACGAACGGCTCTAGATATGAACATTTCAACTTACTAACCGCTCTACTAGGGAAAAACAGGCTCGACTTGCGAACTTTTTTTGAGTTACGAACAGAAAAAAAAACTGCATTGGGAAGGCAGCTGCCTCACGCTTGTCTTTTCTCCCAGGAAAAAAACATGCAGAGAATGTGCTAGATGAGGGCATGTACAACTCCATCAACGTCCTGTGTGTGGGGCAGACAGAGAGTGTTGGCTACTGATGACCGTACCCTCTCAGTTTGTCAAGCTGAATGACAGATAGGCTGAAGTCCTGTTGCTGTGAATGCCAAAAGAATGCCATCAGCAGCCCCAACAAATAAATCACTCCTGATTAAAGATTTCCTTTAGCAATTTTGTGCACCATCTGTACACAACGGGACAACGTTCCATGCACCCCAAAATAGGCAAAAGAAGCCTCTAATCAGCAATCATTTGCTGCTGCTGCTAACACCATTCTTGCCATGCACACAGAGATGCACAACAAGATTTGAGTTGATGTGAAAGAATGTGTTCTGATCTTGCAGAATTTCCAAATAACAGGAAAGTTTGACCTACTGTACAATTAAACAAAAAAACAAGCAAGCAAGCATGCATGCACAAAACCAAAAAAACTAAAACCCACAATTGCTCTTGTCAGCAAGGAAAGGACAATTCAGTATCCTAACTCCACAGTGTTTGAGAGACTGCTTTAAGTCAGAAAGCTACAGCAAGCAATTTCAGACAAAGTGAAGAAAGAAGCACAGACAAAGCAATCTTAATGTTACAGCTTAAATTGTCAGAGGTCACCAAGTGACACACACTGAATAATCCCCCAGGGCTCCCAAGAATTGTGAAACATGGTTGTCCACATCCATGAAATAACATGTCAGCAAATAACCTTGAAAGGACAACCTATGTACTATATAGTGAATTTTCCAAGGAAGGATGCTTTCACCATTCTGGGGGGGAAAAATCTCTCCTCCTTTATTGTTGGAGAGGCTGTAATTAGAATCAAATGAACAACCTCTCTTTAAGCAGCTTTAGATGAAGAGCTCGATCTTAAAGAGTTCTAAGTCATCCAAAATAATCCATGTCACCTTAATTACATTAGGTTGGGGCCTGGGGCTGGGCGGGAGACCGCTTCCACTTGTATGAGTCCAAAAATCCGTACACAGATTTAAAGGCCATTGACAACAGTAGAGCATAACCTGTTGAACATGGTTTTGCTACGGTTCGTATGTGACGTGCAGTTCAATTTACCACATGAAACAAGAGTCATCATGGTTAGACTCCAAATTCCCACCCCAATGCTGGGGTCATACCTCTTCAGGAAGGCTAGGAAGGGCTTAAACCATCCTGCTGCTGCTGCTGCTGCTGTTACGCTAACCTTCCCTCTGGCATAGTCACTGGCCTTGCAGGAAATTTCAAGGTGGTTTCTTTCACTGTGTAGGGTTTTGCTCAGGCAAAGATGCAAAAGTGTAAAGATATCTATGCTGTATTTTTTTTGTGGTTGTTTGTGGAAATATGAGATTTAAAACAACAACAAAATTTAAAAGCAGCATTGACTAAGCTGTTTTGAAAATTTAAAAATAAAAGAATAAAATATATCTATACTAGTTTATGAAAGAGCCTCATGGCGCAGTGGTTAATCTGCTGAACTGCAGCTAAAACTGTGCTCACGACCTGGGGTTCAATCCCAGGGAGCCAGCTCAATGTTGACTCAGCCTTCTATCCTTCCGAGGTCGGTAAAATGAGTACCCAGCTTGCTGGGGGGAGGGCAATGTGTAGCCTGCATAATTAACTTGTAAACCGCCCAGAGAGGGTTTGAAGTTCTATGGGGCAGTATATAAGCAGCACACTTTGCTTTGCTTTTATACCACTTACAGGGCAAGGCAGAGACAGCCATTAACTCAAACCTACACTTAACTCTCTCACAGACAGTGCTCTCTATCTCTCTTTTTTGTCACACTGAAAAGGCTGGGCTACACTGGCATTTTACCGTAAGAATATTCATCATCCAAAGGGGCTGCTGGCTCAGATCAAAGGTTCGTATTCTTCAGCATCCTCTTCTCCACAGTGGCCGAATAGATGCTTCCACAAAGCTCAGCAGAAGATAATAGAAACTCCCAGTGCTGGTCTCCTGCAGCTGGCATTCCATGGCAATGGGACATCCTGAATCTAATGGTTGTACGTAGCCACTAAACTAAGTCACCAATCCTATCACACCCATCTTCTATGAAATTGTCTAATACTTTTTAAAAGTCGACTTCCTCATAATAGTGTGCTCCATGTGCGATGATGTGATATATGATATGATACACAATCTCTTCTGAAGGTACCCAATAACCCTGTAGTTCTATTATGAAGACAGAAGAAAAGCTCTTAATCTGCCTTCTCCATACCCATGCATAATTTCACAACTGTCTAACATGCTCTCGTTCAGTATCTTTTGTCATACAAGTTGCTTACCAAGTCCAAATCAAAGTGTTGGTTTTAACCTCTAAAACCCTAAACGGCTTGGGGTCCGGCCATCTCAGGGACTACCTGCCTCATTATGAGCCTGTCCAGATAGTAAGACTGTCAAGAATGACCTTCTTAAAAATACCAATTGTTTTAGAAGTCTGCCCAAACAAGCACAGGGGAGGGAGGGCCTTCTCCTTTGTGGCTTCTGGGTGATGGAAGGCACTCCTAAGTTGCCACCTGTTTCCAATCTGATAGATTTTAAGAAGGGGAAAAATACTTTGTTTTAGATTGGTATATGATGTTGAATTTGCCCTGCAGCGTTTTCAATTTGTATCTTTTGCTGATTTTAAGGCATTTAATGTATTTGCTTAATTTTGAAGGTCCTGGGATTATACCTTTTTTTTTTAGCTAAATGTGATTTTATCTGTTTTATTATTTTAAAAGTTTGCAAGCCTCCCTGAGCGCTAGTTTTCATTGGAAAAGGAGCCTATAAATGTAATGAATAAATAAAATATGCAGCGGCAGCTTAGCACGCCAGCCACATTAACAGTATACATCTTGCTAAGTCGTCTGGACCTCAGATTTCCTTGAGAGCAAACATTTGTAAACAACACATGAAAGCATCCTCTACTAGCAGGGCATGATAAGAGTTTTTTCCCCCCAGTCTAAAGGCCCACTTCTTTGAGGGACTAACAGAGCATGCCCGGGAAACAAAATATCCACATACCATTGCTAACCATGCGCCTGGCCACTTCCCAAAGGACAAGTCCATAGGCCCAAATGTCTACCCTTTTGTAAGAGTCAAAGCAGTCCACTTGGATGGTTTCGTCTAAGACTTCCGGAGCCATGTAGCGCTTGGTACCCACGCGAGGGTTGTTGCCCACGTCCAACTGGTTGGTGCTTTGGGAGTGCATGACTGCCAGGCCTGCAACCACAAACATAAGGGGTCCTGGTAAAGTTGTTATTCCTGTTAATCATTCCTATAATCCTTTCAAGACAGGAAAGCAACTCAGAGCCATTACCCAAATTATGCACACACACACACAAATTATCTTGCTAAATTCAACAATTGATACTCTCAGATGAAACGGATGTTGAAAAGTCAGCAGTCGGCTAAGCAGGGGCTTGAGCAGGATTATTTCAGTTTAAGACAAACTCACCTGTTACCGCTGTAACCTTTTTCAACTATAAAGCTCATAAAGTTTACCAGAACCAACAAAAAATGCTTATGGGGAGAAAAGAAAAATAAGAGCCAGAAGTAACAATAAAGTGTAGTCCAACATTTTTACATACACACTAATGTGTTTATGTGGATATGTCCAGCAAAAAATGGAGTCAAAACGCCGAGCTTTTATGCTGCTCCTTCCCCTTACCTCTCCTGCTCCAGGAGGGCATGTCTGGAACCTTCTTGTCCATTTTGAATTAACCACAGTATACCACATCATTGATCCCCAAACAAACTGTTGTTAATTTCAATTACAGTGAGTGGAAACAGGACATCACATACTTAGTATGCAAAGTTGAACAAATAACTTCACAAGACCCACAGCCAGGTATGTGGTATCTCACCCCGATGGAATCCTAGGAACTGTAGCCACTGTGTCTGTGTCTGTCTGTGTGTACACACACACACACACACACACACACACACAAACGTTCCCATTTCTCTCCTAAACTGTGACTAACCTAAAACGATAGCAGGTGGTTCTGACATCCTCTTCACTCTTGCAGTGGAGCAACAAACTCAAGCTTTAATTCTCCTGGTGGATAGCAACCTGTAGTGCTGGCCACAGCATTGTGATGGCCCACTAAGAACTACCCACACCAACACAGTAAAGCAATATCACTTCAGGGTAAAAGGCAGTCACTGATACAACTGAACCTTTACACAAAGGCAACATCAAATCCTGAGCTCCATGCTACGAACACAGGTTTAGGTGATGGGAAATATACAGACCACTCTAGCTTCTGTCCTCAATACAAAAGAAAGCTTTCAACAATCCATTTCAGGCCTCTTCCCATCCATTTTATTACTATTATTATTGTGACACTATTGTAAGTCTCCAAAATCATGCGTAGTAAACATTCAGAACTTTACAAAGCAACATCTGAAAACAGTACAAGGTTTAGGAAATAGGAGGGTTTTGGGAAAAAAATGCAAGTGCCCTCTAGTGGATACTGAGACAGTCTTCAAAATGATGCTCAAGAAGTAAAGGCAGGCTCTCAAGAACTGCAGTAGGAGAGTGGTTCCCAACCTTGAGCAACCCAGATGTTCTTGGATTGCAACTCCCAGAAACCACAGCTAGCATAGCTGGTGGTGATAGCTTCTGGGAGTTGCGGTCCAGAAACACCTGGTTGGGAACCTCTCCATTAGGCTATCTGAGAGATGCACAGTATCCAATCAGTATTTTAAAAGAAGGAAAACAAGGAAGGAAGTTGCTCACCAAGATCTGCTATGCAACACTGTCCATTTTTCTTCACTAGGATGTTTTTACTCTTCAAGTCTCGATGAGCAATGGCCGGCTTTCCTTGGGTCCCAAATATCTCTATGTGCAAATGTGCAAGGCCACTAGCGATGGACAATACTATCCGTAGACAGCCCACGGTGTCCAATGTAGTGAGTTGAAGATAGTCGTACAAAGAGCCCATCTCGTGATAATGTGTAATTAACCACAACTGAGTGCTGGAATTCCTAGAGGTCATATCGGAGGCAATGAAGCCTAAAAGGTTAAAAAAAAAAAAGAAAGGAAAGGTACTTAAAGAGCGAGCAGATGACATATGGGACGCTTCCTACCCAACCCTAGACATTTTCTGTGGAATGACCAGAACCCTCCTTCAAACGAAGGAATACAAGGAAGAATACCTGTTGGGTTAAACAAGGCATGCATGAGGAAGCTTTGGGCCTCCAGATATTTGGACTACAGTTCCCTGAAGCTTGGTAGCAAGCGGTCATGAATTCTTGGGAGTTCAAAACATATGGAGGATCAAAGAGGCTAGATTGATCACCCTGTTTGTCTGAAGACAATGAAGTTAAGATTCACAGTTCTTTTGACCCGTGGTTAAATTCTGGCTTTCTATCCCCATCCTATATGGAAAGGAAACTCTCTTCCATTCTCCAACAGCTACCCTCTTTCAAACTCCCACCATGTTAACGCAAGTGGCCAAAGGAGGACACAGAGGGGAAAATGTAATCTTAGTTATACTCTGAAACAATGCTTACAGCGGTCTTCCCCAAAACACTTTTTTTAAATGAAATGACATCTGGCAAGTACAGAACACAGGTCTGTTTTTTGTTTTAGTCAATGAACACTTCATTTTATTTGCAATGTCAGTTCCACCGTATGCATTTAAGATTTTACACTTAAAGTTTATACAATGGTAGAGTCTGTTTTCTAGAAGGGAATCATTTCCATGGTTCTCCTCATAATGAACTGGATGGTCTATTCTGATATATTATTCTCATGTTTTTCTTGATGGAGAAAAAAAATTAAACATTTTTGTTATAAAGAAAAATACAGTATTCCATGGACTCTGAACCAATTCTTTTTAGTCCTCCCCAATTGATCTATGTATGCAGCAATAGTATCTCCTCACCTAAAATGTTTTCATGCCTCAGCAGAACAGTATTATATAATTCTGTTTCCCTGAACCAGGACTTTTCATCTCGAGAAGAGAAGATTTTAACAGCGACATTTTCTCCTTGCCACTGGCCTCGCCAGACTTCTCCATATCGGCCTTTCCCTGAAAAGCAGGAGGAAACAAAATGTGTTTTTTTTTAATCAATAGGCTTTCATTAAAGAAAAGGAACATCACACTTTGAAACCGAATTCTAAGTCATGGGTCTTCAATTAAAAAAAAGGTCAGATGACACTAAGAAGGATGGGTTGCGTATCTGAAGCAGTGGTGTATTTTTTAAAGTAATCATTCACACATGGGGCGGCTGTACAGAGACATCCCTGCAACTAAAGCTGAGCAAAGTTTTGACTGGAGCCCTGCCCCTCTCCTACAGCCCACACATGGACAGCTTCCTGAGCTCTTTGTCTACCACAGAAAACAATGCAGACAAACCTCCTGAGATGCAGGTGGATATGAATGTGTGAATTCACAGCTGTCTACTTGAAGGATTATAGTTACAGGCTATCCTCCTCCTTCACGGTCTCTATGATCACACATTAATGGGTGACTAGCACATTCATTTAGTGGAGGTGGGATGGTGTCAGCAAAAGATCAATGAAAATACAGCTTTCCTGAAAGAGGCATCAGCACTGGACCTGGAGACCAGTCAGAAGTACTGGATGAATGTGGAAGGCTAGAACCATGTAGCAGCATTGGTAAGATCCAGAACAGAAACACCACAAAAGAAAACAGAAGAAGCTGTCATCACCCAAGCGGAATAGCACTTCAACCCTCAGGCACCAGGACAGCAAATGCCAAATACACGTCCACTGTACTCTTGGGTCACCCACTGATCACTGTGCAAACAGAGAGGGGTCCATGGTGAGTAGAATCAAACCCAGGTAGATGAAACCAGGTCCTTCAAAAGAAGGGAATGCTTTAGAGCCACGAGGCAGAGATGTGGCAAAGATGACCAGGAACTGCTAGGTGAACAGAAGGCAGACTGTGGGGCAGGCAAAAGACATAAGGCGCTTCATGACTGGAGCAAGCAGGAACAGAGACAAGTTGGAGGGCTCTCTCTCTCTCTCCCTCTCTGTGACATAACCCTTTTCTTTAATGATGGAGAAAAACCACTAGTCATGATGCATGGCATTCCACGTGAAATCATAGTGACCGAGGAGTTTGTCTTGGAAGGGTGGAGAGACAAGACGGTGCATGGGAAGGGCCAAGGAGTCAAAGATGACATCAAAGGCAGAAAAAGAATGCTGGGCAGTAGAAAAGATGCATGTGGAACCCTCGCCAATTTTGCCTGGCAACAGAAGAAACAAGAAGATTAGTTGGAGGAATGCAGGAGGACAGCCCATCCAGGAGAGCCCAGAGGAAGGGTGATAACAGCGGGAATTTGAAGAGAAGTTAATATGTATTCTGGAAGGCTTTCACAGCTGGGAACTGATGGCTGTTGTAGGCTTTTCGGGCTGTTTGGCCGTGTTCCAGAGGTTTTCGTAACCAAGTTAATTTGTAACCAAGGAAGTAAGTTGTATTTTTGAGAGCTGGCATGCAACCCAAGAAAAGCTTATATTAGACTCTGTTTATCTTTCAGGTATTACATTGTAATAAAGAACGTATCTTTTTTCATTCTTTAACACCTTAGTATAATATGTTTATGGCTGAAGTCCAGCCTTTTCAAGGAAGAGTATTTTTAAAGTAGCAAGCTGGGTAGTGGCTGGTCACAGCATGTGATGCATAAAGTCGCACCAATTAGTAGAGGAAGACCAAAAAGATTGATGGGCAACTTGGGAGGATCTAGGCTAACCATCGGAAGATGACTGTGGCCAGGGCTGATTTGATTCAAATTTTAAAAAAATGAGTTGTTTGTTTTTTTAAAAAATCATGATTTAATTTTTTTAAAATCATTGCTTTTTCTCCACCCTGCATGGGGTCCCATTGTGTTGTTTCTTTTTTGAATTGACTGACTCCTCCCCATCAAATGGCAAGTCTTCATTCCTGGACACTGCTCAACCCAGGCATTGGTTTGCATGGAATCAGGCACACCATGCAACCTGAAACGTGCAGGGTAATGGAGTCTGTATCGCTTTCACAGTGCAGTCTGCTCCCTGACCTGCTGAATGGGCAGAAGCCTCCTCTGTGAGAGAAGGCGTTGGGGACAGTTCCCCAGCTGCAGAAATCCTTGGTTCCTGCTCTGACTCCCTTTTCTGAAAGAGCTGGCCAAAACAGGAGAGCCAGCGGTTTCTCCCTCTGGACGTGTATGGCTTGGACTTCTGAAACTAGTCACTCAAGTCACACAACGGGATCCCCCTGTGCTTTCCTGGTCTCTGTCCTTCTTTGCTAAGCAAACATGTGAGCAGCATGGCTGATAGTTATGTTGCACTAGAGTCAGCTCCCCCAGTTGTTTTAAAATCCTGAGAACAAAGCCACATCCACTAACTAACTAACTGACTACCTAGGTGTTTGGAGGTTTTTTGGGGTGTGTGTGTCACATGATACACATATCATTAGAAACGGAAAGCACATTAATGTCACAGCAACAGGATTCCCTACCAGTATTTCTGAGGAATTGGATTTGTTAAAGAAGCCTTCCAATGACTAATCAGAAAACAAAGCAAGCTAATTTGCAAGTAAGTGATATGAGCTCACGCCAGGACAATTAGCATACTGTAACAAAGTGCTGCCTGTATCTCTTAGTTCAACTATCAATCATGCAGACAATCTGCCTCACACTGTCAGGCTATTCCCCTATTAACCCCATGTTGCCCAGAGCCTGTTCAAGCTGAATCTTTCCCTCACCCATGCCCTTTTAACTGGAAATGTCAGGGAGGAAATTTGTATCCATGTGCATGCAAAGTGTGTGTTATATCACTGGACTTTAGCCTGGTCCTCTGCCAGATGGGAGTCCCATTTAGAATCATCAGCTGATTTTACAGGAACACAGTGGTGCCCTTCAGCATATAAAAGGGGGGAAACTGCGTGGAAATGCATCAATGTGTCTAATTTAAAAGAACGACATGGTAAAGGGGAGTACGTAGTACACGGGTTGCACATTGGAGACTCCGTAAGCAATTCAAGGAGACTAAAACAAGTTTAATTCAGTGCAATGCCACCTGCTCTCCCTGGCAGCAACATATGCCTGGAGCTGGTCCCTCATTTTTTGGCAGATATTCATCGGTGACAGGTGTATTTCAGGGTAAAAGGGACACATGACACCTACAAGGCATGGGTGTTACACAGAAGGGACTTCCTGTCCAAAAATACCACTTGTAATATAATACAGGCTAACCATTTAACTGTCTAGTCTCTTAAAACAGACATGGCCTGTCTCAGGAGGAGATTCTGTTTCGAGAAAACATACAAATGTATTGAGAATTTTAGAAGGATAAAGATAATCATACAGGTATGATCAGAACACTGGCTGAGCCATGAGACGCTTTGATACCATACATGCAAATGAGAACATGAAATCTATTCAACACCGGTTACTCAGCCTTTCAAGACTGTTCTGTTTCCAGCTTTTTGTATATAGCACACTGAGGACGAAACACTGTCCCAAACTCAACTGCTAGTCCTAACTGAAGTATACTTTCTAATCACATCTCAAGTCCACACTTGTGTAAATTCCATTGGTTCTGGTCAGGCTAGGACTAGCTCTTGGATTAAGGCACTATTTTCAGCATGGCTTCAGTATCGCCCATCATAACCAGTGGACTGGATTACAGGAAGCAAAACACAGTGGAAATGCTAAGAGTTTCAGGAAATAAACCCACTGCCCTTTCCCAGTGACATGACCTTTAAAAACGGGAGTAGCAGCGACACCATCCTTGAGACTCAAGAACTCAGGGCTCTTTCCACTCCACCTTACTTCTTGGAAGGAACATGGCTGCACAAGGGAAGCCAGGGAGTAGGAAGAGGAGATGCCTCAACCAACAGAAAAAGGCCATGTGGAATGGCTGCCAGGAATTTCTCCACATTATACTGAAGGTAACGACTAACACTCCTTCACAATCCAGGCCCCAATAGATTCGCATTCTTCTATAAGGATCTTTTTTAAACAATGCAGCAACAAAATAGTGTAGAAAACATAACTAAAGTCTAGCAAGCCACTTTCTAAACAGCATTAAATTGGCAAAATTAGGCAAACTGTGTTTAAGAGCAAACTCACTCAGCAGCAAAGCAAGGAATCACTAGCGTAGCTATCAGGTTTTGTTTATCTCTTGGGTGGAAAGACGAAGCAGTTTCTCACCATATACCAATCACATACAGATGCCTATATTTTGCCTGGCCATGATTCGGTTCCACAACTTACACACAGATTTTTTTTCCCAGTCTTCCCCTTACTCTGTTTTACTCTTACTATCTCACATGTTTATCAAAAAAATACATGCTACTCAAGAGTTTTCCTTTCCCCTTAGTCAATGAACTTGCCGTATCATGCATTTTTCTCTAAAGTTGCCTGAATTATTAACTTTATTTCATAATAAAATTTCATGTTAAGAACAGGGAAGGGGAGTCCCATTCAGATCCGCTGCTTTGCAGCATGCTGGAGATTAAGAAATGGTGAAACCTGCGCCCTTTGAATGCAGCTCTTCCAAAAGCAAATTCAACAATATTCATTTAGCATTTCCCACAGTCTCACTCTTTGATTTTTACTCAAGTTCACATGTATACAAGGTTTCCTGGAAGCTGCCACTCTTGTGGAATCAGGGATTACTAACCTACACACTCCAACAATGTGATCTGGCGAGCCACTGTTCTTTGTACCAGGAAAGGAAGACCCGATCCACTGCCAGATGTACAGGATTGATCCAACAAGTCCTGCGTAGAGATCAGAACAAACATCTGGGTATTAATACTCCAATGGAGTAGAAGGAAACATTTCCCCACCTCTCCCTTCCAAGAAGCCTACTTCTGATTGGACAGGACAGGATCTCAGCCTGGGTTTGTTTTGGTCTGAAGGTGCCCCCAGCTGGTCCTGTCTGTATCTGGAGGTATTTAAGGTCAGCTTTGTTTGAGTTGATATCTTGCCTCCACTGATTAAGATGGTGCAGGGTATTGCCATCGAAAGCTCAGACTATTATTTTAACAATAAACATGAACTGACAAGACTGGAAACCCACGAGCTGTTTACACTGGGGGGCAATTCCATATGGCCTTATCTTTTTATATACAGAAGTCACCAGAGCTCTTCAAAATTACACTTCAATCATACGTAGTTAATTTGATCTCTCCTCAAGCTGGAGCTTGTAGCCCTATCTGGTCTTCTGCAACTCTGATCTCATTCATAATTTGGGCTATGGTGTTCAACCTAGTCCATAAGAAGGAGGTCTTGGTGAATGGGAAAGTTGGTAAAGACTACTTCATACAAATGCACCAGGTGAATTAGTCTAATCTGAACTACAAAATAGACTACAGAAAAGGAGCCTGCAAGGGCTTAATGCCTGCAAGGTGCAATGAAGAGAGCATGGAATAACACCCTCTGTAAATGCATATCCATGAGCATAATGGACCATGTACTGGTCTATACAGAACTGCTATATTCGCTCCCTGTTTACTTCAGCCAGGAAAATGTTATCACGTACAACAAACACCAAACTCTGTTTGGCCAGACATACATAAATGGCTTGTGTGCCTTTTCCCACTTAGATGCCACTTCTATTGTTGCTGCCACAATCAACAATTTCCTGTTTATTATCTGGCACTATATTACTGATGCATCCATGTAATCTTCTAAGTACTATAGTGACAGAGCATGTAGTACAGTAGTTCTTTTTATAATACCAACCACCTCCTTCCAATCTGTTTGCATTTTCTCACACACCCACTACATACAACAATTGTTGGCTTTCAGTCCTGCACATCACTGCCATAAAGGTATTCTATATGTTTGCTAACTTCTCCAGGATAGTTTGGTTCAAAAGGAGTCAAATACCCTTTACATAAGATGGTGAAATATTTTCTCTCGAAGCATTTGAACCTTAAAAAGAATGTCACTACTGGATTTAATTTCAACAGAACTTTGTTAGAATGGGCAAAACTGAATTATGAAAATGTACTGATTGACAGTTGTCTGAGAAGTTGCCTGGGATTGGACAAAGTATAACAGTTTCAAGCACCCCTTGATTTAACATAAGCACAAGAAGGAAATCACTTCTTCAAGCCACTAATTTTTAAAGCATGTTTGTTTAATTAGAAAAGGATTACCAATAGTAAAAACATCACAACATTTAATGATATGCCATACGCTACCTTGATGCTACTGTTTTCAAACCATTCAAGTGTGGCCACAAGGTGGCAGCAAAATACCTTGGTAGGTCACTCTGAGAGCCTTCAGGAACAGCATGATGAGAGAGCTGAGGGATACCAGCCACCCTCAGGGTAGATACAGTTCCCTGTGGTACACCAATATTGACAGGCATTCATAAAATGCAGCTTGCAGCAAGCCTCTGCCCTTTCCATTCCTGGCATAACCCATGTAAGAATTAAGAGTTACAAGCCTGAATGGAACTCAAGACTCCAGGAACACTATCTGGAGAGTGGTGTGGTGGATAGGGTGACACACCATAGGACTCAGGAGACCTCCTCGCTTTGGCCCTGCAAATGCCCTGGGGTGGGTGCAGTGACAAATCACTCCTTGAAACATCGCATAATCAAAACCCTATTAGGGTTGCCATGAGTTTGGGATATAGCTTGATAATGTAACAAAAACACTCTGACCAACAAGTCCATTCGGCCTGGGAATCAATGCTGCGTTACCATGGATTCCAGTCATTTCAGTAAGTGCCATGGAATCTGGCTCTGCTTCTTGAAGGAACACTGAATTTCCTCTCATCCTTGCTCAAGATCTCAAGTCTTTGTCTTTATCTTTAGAAGGCATATGCCTCTTTCTATTATCTGAGGTGCCTGTTCAAAAACATGTTACTTTTAGCAATGTCTAGAAAAGCCCTATTGTCCACACAACTGAGGGTCAGGTGTCCAGCAAAGGGTCATAGGATTCCTGCCAATGGACTGTCATTTCCACAGCTTTTCATTAATATCTATCAATGCCTATTCCCCCCCTTTTGATCTGGTTATTGTAGTCCACTTTAAACAGATATTGTTATTTTCTTCAAGCGCTGGCTTAAGGGTCATTCCACTCACTAGAGCAAAACAAGAGGGACAATAAAGAACCACATCAATTTATATTTTAATCTCTGGCCTATTTAGACCATTCAATCCTGATCCATATGGGCCTTTCAAACCTTACTAGATTCATGAACCTACAGCTTAGTAAATTCCAATCTTTACCTGGCCCACAAATGTCGAGGCTCCCAAGCAGGCCCCTCTGCTGCTCTGGACTTCAACTCCCATCACACCCAATTAGCATGGCCAATGGCAAGGGATTATGGGCACTGCACGTCCAAAACTTCCAAACGGCCTAAAGTTTCCTACCCTTACTCTGAAGTTGCTCATGGTGTGTAGCTACACTACAAAGTTATAACATTTGGGTTCCGCTTGAACCATTGTGGCTCCATCCTATGGAGTCCTGGGGTCTGTAGTTTGGTGAGGTTCATGGATGGGCATTAGAGCTGTCCATCAGAAAACTTTAGAGATTTCACCAAAGTACAAATCTATGGCAGTTAAATTAAACTGCTGTACAGTGGGCCCTCTACTTATGGAAATAATCCGTATGGAAACGGTAGCTGCAGGTCGAAAAGTCTGTAGGTCGAGGCTCCATTGACCTACAATGCATTGAAAACCGATTAATCTGTAACCGGCCGTTTTTGTTCCATTTTGGTTTTTTTTTTCCGGTCTGTACGTCGATTCTCCAGCTACAAGGCGAACCAAAATTTTGCGGCCAGAGAAGTCTGTAACTCGAAAAGTCTGTAAGTCAAGCCGCCTGTAAGTTGAGGGCCCACTGTAAGTGTGTCGTTTAGACAGATTCCTTTCATGCCAAATGGCATACCACAACAGAGAGATTTCTCTTCATCCTCAGTCTTCCACTGGTAAGCACTGGCTACATCTTTTCAATTCAAACTGCCCCCACCCCACCCCTTCTCTTTCCACACTTACAGTCGACTGTCTCAGGAAGAAAGCGATTCTGCTGTGTCAGAAGGGAACCTTCTAGAACAGGTGTGACACAGTCATTGTGGAACATGGGAGGATAGGAAATGGCCACAGTCCCAGAAGAAGAATGAGGTGGCAGGGAGCATCTGACTGCTTGGCATGATAAAGGAGAGGGAGGGAGCTGCAGCTCCTGCCCTATACATTTGCTGTCACGCACTGGAAACTCTTGCTTTGCCTCCTTCAAGACAGCTGTCATGTTGCCGCAGCCCACAAGGAACGCATGGCTTATTCCAGAGACAAGGCTCAGATGAGTTGTGTCCAGTAATCTCAGGGAACACTCAAACCTTCTCCATCAGGAACATTTTTTTCCTTGTTTCTTGTCATGTGGTGCTACCTCACTCTATCACAGTCAAAATGCTCTCTTATTTTATTTTTCACTGGGTGCTCTGAACACTTGGTAGCAATATTTTCACGCTCCTCAGCTGTTCATGATTCAACACGCAAAGTCCTTCATACCATGGGATTATCTCCTGTTCAACAGGTACCCATTCAAGCCCAGACACCCTCCACCCCCCCAAGGGTTCATGCCTATTCCAGCTATAGGGCAGGGTGGGCAAGCTCAAGGTTTCTGTGAATGAAATTCTCAGCCTCTGAAGCCCCCTCCACAGCCTGTGGGATCATTTCCCACCATGTTTTGTTTTTAAAAGGCAGGAAGTGTCTGGCTGGGCATTTCTTTCTTTCTTTTTAAAGTATCATTATTATTATGAACTGCTGGACAACTCAGGGGTTTATCAGGTATCCATCTGTCAAGCCAACAGTTGGGAATCTGATTCCCCGCTGTGTCTCCTTGATGGGGGCTAGACTCAGTGATCCATACGATCCCCTTCCAACTCTAAGATTATGAAGATCATTTTCAGTAGTAGCACCCCCTCAGCTAGGTAATGTCCTCCCCCCAAGATGCTCCATCTGGCACCTAATTTAAGTTCTTCGCAACTTCCAGGAAATAATTTTCTTCTTTTAAAAATACGTCTGGGCCATTTAAATATGTTATGATCACGTGTTTTTAACTCTTTTATTCTTCACTCTCAGTTCTGTATTGATTCATTTGCTCCAAAGTCTCTCTTCCTGTGCTTTTTTGGTTTTTTTTTTTTTTTTAAAAGCCATTCCTGATTTTACTGTGATGATGTTGTGTTACTACCACTTGGTTGTTTTTATTCTTGTAAGCTGCCTAGAGATCTTTGGCTACACTGCCAGCTTACCAACTGTGGGTAGGTATATATACAAGCTAGAGAGATAAGTGAGCAAGCAAATGTGGAACATGCATTTACAGTGAGAAACACATGCCAGTGTACATGGGATTGATCCCATTTTGCATTCATAACAGCCCTTTTAAAAAGGCTGAATCCTTGTACAATGCCAGAATTGGGTGACTGGGCTAAGAATTTATAGTTGAGCGATAATATGAACCTCCATCACGCAAGCACAAGGCCCAGAGGGTTCCCTACATTTTCCCTATGAAGGCAGTAGAAACCGAGCACTCTGTGTTTCACAAGTCACATTTTTGACAATCCTGTTAGAAATGAAGGCAGAGAGTGCGGGGGAGAAATGCTGTTATATGAATAGCAACAGATCACAAGGCAAGGTTTACTTACTGCCAGTGTGCTGTCACCAACATTGGAGGCCATGAGTCCCTCAATGGTTCCATATTCTGCATCCCTTGAGTTCAGCCTTTCCATGTAGTGCATTTTCACTTTTCGGACAATCAGGACGGCGACGATGCAGACAATGATCAGAAACATCACCGATGCCAGTACAAAAATGGTAAGCGTTTCAATAGTGTAACTTGCAGCTTCCCCTTGGATTGGATGCCCTTTGCCAAATGAAAGGAAAAATAGGAAGTTGGGTCAATTTTGTCAGCATTAAGCTTTGCCTAAGTCAGTTGAAGAGGTAAATCCAAGGACATTCAACACTCTCCTCTTTTTTTTTTGGTCCCCATTACTGTAAACCCTCTCCAAAAATTTAAATGCAGAATTCAGCTGGCTCAGAATGACTCAGTGTGATAAACAAGGCTGCAAAGAAAAAAAAAGGGAAAAAATATGCAGGCACCTGGCCATCCAAAAAAAAAAGAAAGACAGGAGAGAGAAGCTAGAATCTCAAAGTGCAGTATATTTCCATTCCAGTTGCCCAGTTCCAGATAGTGCTAACTCCATCAACCTCTGATGACCTGGAACAGTCCAGCAAGCTAAGAGGAAACCAGCATCAGTCCCTACTCTTGGCCAAGCAAGTTCTTTCCTAAGGCCCCTGCTGCCCAGAAACACCTTGGCTGGATACTTGCCAGTGGCTGTGGCTTAACAGAATGCAGTCCTTGATGATCTTTCTTACGGTGGGGATAGGAAAACATAGAGTCTTCTGGAATTTACTAAGCCGGTGCTGTTAGACTGCAACTCCCACCAGTCCTAGCCCACATAGTGAATGTCACTGGATGGTGGAAGCTGCCGTCTGACATCATCTGGAGGGCCTATACCAGGAACCAGAGGCTGCTTAAGGGCCTCTTCTCCTGCACATTTTGCCTCTTTTCCAGGCCTCAAATCGGCAATCCATTTGGCCTGTTGTTCCCTGTATGAGAATGTCCCCCATGGCCCACCTTCTCTCCATTCATTCATATTTTATTTACTCCAAACAGCAGGTTTACCTCAAATAGAGAGGTTACTTACCTGTAACTCTGGTTCTTCGAGTGGTCATCTGCGAATTCACACTATAGGGTTTAGTCTCTGCTTGCACAGAGGTTTCTGGAATATTCTAGAGCTTTATCACGCATTCGCCAGGACTGCCCCCCCCAGTACACGTGGTCTGCCCGTCCTGCGATTGCCTCAGTTCCTGAGAACAGCTCGCCGCCGCATCAAAGGTGAGACAGACATGACGGACAGAGGAGAGGACAGGCAGGGAGTGTGAATTCACAGATGATCACTCAAAGAACCAGAGTTACAGGTAAGCAGCCTGTCTTTCTTCTTCATGGGCTCTGTGAATACACACTATAGGGTGATTGACCAGCTGACCAACTGGAGGAGGGACATCACGGAAGGACAGAAGAGAGCACAGCCCTGCCAAATGCTGCAACCGTCTTAGTCCTGACATCCAGGCGGTAATGAGTGGCAAACATAGAAGGGGTTGCCCAAGTAGCAGCCTTACAGATGTCTGGGAGAGGAACTCCTCAGAGAAAGGCTGCTGGGGTAGAAAGAGCCCTCATGGAGTGGGCTTTAATGCCTATAGGCAGAGGCTTTTTGGCAAGTTGGTATGCCAACTTTGCAGTTGCGACAATCCAACGAGAGACAGTCTGAGAAGAAATGTGAGAGCCTCTGTGAGGCACATGTGGCGTGAGAAAGAGCAGTTTTGACTTGCGTTAGGAGGACGTTCGTGAGACATAAAATGCCAGGGCTCGTTGGACATCCAACACATGGAAGGAACGTTCGAGGTCAGTTGTCGGTGATGGAAAGAAGGTGGGTAAAACAACAGGTTGTTTGAAGTGGACGTCCCATACAATCTTTGGGAGAAAGGAGACATCTGGATAAAGAGCAGCCTTGTCAGGGTCGAATTGGAGGAATGGAGGGTCTACCCGAACTGTGAGGCACATGTGGCGTGAGAAAGAGCGGTTTTGACTTGCGTTAGGAGGACGTTCGCGAGACATAAAATGCCAGGGCTCGTCGGACATCCAACACATGGAAGGAACATTTGAGGAGGAGGTGCAAGAGGTCACATATCAGAGACACCCTTGAGGAACTGTTTCAATCAGGTTGTTTGAAGTGGACGTCCCATACAATCTTTGGGAGAAAGGAGACATCTGGATAAAGAGCAGCCTTGTCAGGGTCGAATTGGAGGAATGGAGGGTCTACCCGAAGAGCAGCCAGTTCTGAGGCTCTACGGGCTGAAGTAATGGCCGCTAGAAAAAGTCTTAAAAGAGAGGAAGTGTTCAGATGTGGTAGCAAGCGGTTCAAATGGAGGAAGTGTGAGATGTTGGAGGATGGTATGTAGGTACCACTGCAGAAGTGGAGGAGGTGCAAGAGGTCACATATCAGAGACACCCTTGAGGAACTGTTTCAATGTAGGGTGACGAAAAAGTAGGGCTGTGTCTGAGTCTTGAGGCTGATGTGCAACTATGGCAGAAATGTAAACCTTGAGGGTGGACAGGGAAAGCTGCTTATTCAAAAGGTAAGAAAGAAATGTAAGGACTGTGTGAAGATGTATTCGCGAAGGCTTTCACGGCCGGGATCTAATGGTTGTTGTGGGTTTTTCGGGCTTCTTGGCCGTGTTCTGAACGTGGTTTTTCCTAATGTTTCGCCAGTCTCTGTGGCCGGCATCTTGAGAGGACAGCAAACTGTGCTCTGTGTGAAGAGTTGTTGGATTGGTTGGGAGGTTGCGTTGAGCTGCAAATTTCTGGAAAGCGGCCCATTTATAAGAATAAAGTTGTGTTGTAGCAGGCTTTCCACTGTGAGGTGGAGAGCGTGAAGGTTTAGGTGGTACGTTCTGCCCTGATGTTGAGTGAGAAGGTGAGGAATGGGGGGGCAGACGAACATGGTCTGTGGAGATGGATCGCAGCATGGTGAACCACGGCTGCCTGGGCCACCATGGGGCAATGAGAATAGCTCCAGCAGGCAACAAGTAGGTTTGTCAAGAGCCTGGTTGGCCGGTACGGAGTAAGTTGTAGACTGATGAGATTTAGAGTGTTCCTTTTGACAAGGCTGCGTGGTATCAAGAGGCGCAGGTGGGAAGCACGAACCTGTGAAAGTGCAGTGGGTTTAGTAGACGAAATTGGAGCCTTAACTTATGAGTGAGATCTCTTTGGTACCATCGGTTGTTGTGCTATGAAAGGCTCAGGAAAAGGATTCCTCTTGCGAGAGGATCTATGCGGTTTCGGTACCGTAGGTAAAGGCGCAGTGTCATCCTCGGATGAGGTTTGGTAGTAATCATGAGACCACAGCCAGTACCAAAGAGGAGGTGGTGAATCTGATACATCAGATGGATAGTAATATCCATACCGTGAGCGTTTAGGTTCAATGTAAAGTTCAGTATTGGGCTGCCAATATTGATACGCTCAATGTCGATAGCACTTGGGCGGAGGCTCATAATAAGTTGGTGGTTCATAAAGCGCGACTCGTTTCGGGTAATGATATTGAGTCAAAGAATCATGGGATGCCAACAAATCCATAGAAGTCAGAGGTTGTGCAAGATTGACAAGTCTCCGGTGTGTGGGTCAAAGAATCATGGGATGCCAACAAATCCAGAGGTTGTGCAAGATCGACATCGGATCGACAAGTCTCTGGTGTGTGGTGAGTCTTTCTGGATTGCTTACGCAGAGGTGATGGGTCGGATAAAGCAGACACCAACTCTGAGTCAGAGGTGGTGAATCTGATACATCAGATGGATAGTAATATCCATATCGTGAGCGTTTTGGTTCAATGTAAAGTTCAGTATTGAGTTGCCAATATCGATACGCTTGATGTTGATAGCATTTGGGTGGAGGCTCATAATAAGTTGGTGGTTCATAAAGCGCGACTCATTTCGGGTGACGATATCGAGTCAAAGAATCATGGGATGCCAACAAATCCAGAGGTTGTGCAAGATCGACATCGGATCGACAAGTCTCTGGTGTGTGGTGAGTCTTTCTGGATTGCTTACGCAGAGGGGATGGGTCGGATAAAGCAGACACCAACTCTGAGTCACACACAGAGACTCATCAACCCATGGATTTGGGGCTTGAATGTGCCGATTGGGAGATAACTGTCACCTCAGCTGAGGTGTTAGCCCAAGATGGAGACTGGGCGAAGGAGTGGAGAGAGTGGTTGACCATAAGGTGGTGGCATAAAATCATCATCCAGAGAGTCAAGGCAGACAGCTGGTTGGTCCTGTAAAGGAATTGTCGAAGTAGTCTTGTCAGGTGCTGTAGATCTTTTAGTGGACTGGGAATCCAAAGATGATTTCTTGGTCTTTTTAGGCTTGGAATGTTCCGGTACCGAAGGAAGGTTTGGTACTGGTATAGACTTGGTAGTCAATGTTGAAGACTTGGATTTTAAAGTGGATTTAGACTTGGATTTAGAAGTTAGTAGCTTCGTCGTCAGAGAAGCAGTGGACATCTCAGGGGATCCCTTGCGGGGCTGAGAAGTTTGGGAAGCTTCCATAGCTTGTGTTGGGTGTAGAGAACGCTCCCAAAGAAAGGATCTAGGACATTATTGTCTGAGCTTAAGAGCTTGTTTAGTAGAGTTTTTGCAAAACTGGCACGAAGATGGCTGGTGAGACTCCCCAAGGCAAAATATTGTGTCCGTCTGAGGGGGAGATCTTATTGGAGCACGAGGTGCACCGTTTCAACAGTGGTACAGCAGCCATAAATGGTGGTGGAGGGAAAGGGGGCGGTCCAAAGAGGGAGAAATAGCTTGAAAAGTCTCTTACAATTTTCCCTCTGTTATTTTTATTATAGGAAGAAATTGAAAGCAGTGGCAAACGGAGAGCTCAATGAGAGATGAAAACTCAGTGGCAGCAAAAAGTAACTGAGGCAATTGCCAGGACGGGTGGACCACGTCTACTGGGAGGGGGGGGGCTGGTGAATGCATGATAAAGCTCTAGAATATTCTGGAAACCTCTGCACAAGCACAGATTAAACTCTAGAGTGCATATTTACAGAGACCATGAAGAAGAAACAACCTACACAGCTCACGACCTGTTTTCAACAGTTCCTCCTGAGAGCCGGGATAACTGCTGGTTCCCGCATTGCCCTCTCCTACAGATATCCTCTTGCCTCAGTCTAGCACAGGGTGCAGACCTCTGGCCCTTCAGAGGACAATGAAGTATCACCTTCAGTCCTTTTATGGAGAAAGGTGGGGTAAAAATATTTTAAATAAACAAATAACAAATAAGTACCACTACCACTATATCCCTAGGGTGGCTAGGGCTTGTAGGTAACCACAGTCCATCACTATCCAGAGGTTCTCCAGCAGTCTTCTGGAATCAAACCCTAATTCAGGGCCTCTTTCTGTAGCAGGATGTTGAGGATACCCAGCCATGGAAAAGTCCCACCCTCATATTTTATGTCACTATTATTTGCTGATCTGCTTAAAAGGCTGGCTTGCACCCATAGTGCCATTCTCTCAGAGCCAAAGTTTCCACACAATCCCCAAATCCTTGGCCTGATGCCACAGCTGGAAACTTTTCCAAGAAGAAGCTGAACAAGAAAGGACCCCCTCCTTTTTAAAAAGACACCAAAGATTAAAATAATCTACCTTTTGTCAGCAGATGTGCCGTAATGTTCATGTTACACAGGTCTCCTTGGCAGCATTCCACGGCTTGATCAGAAGACGGCGGGGTTTTGCAAGTCATCTTTCCTTGCTCGTACACTCGGAAGCAACCCTTCTGGGAGACTTTAGCTCCGTTATTGATGCTCAAGGAAGCAAAGCACTGATGTCCTCTGCAACGGATGCCATTCCCGCACGACATGCCCTCACACACACATTCATAGTCCGTCGTCAGTTTGACTTCATCATCTGTGGGATGGGGAGAAAAAGAAATACCATCTCTTCAGGCAAGATAAGGGTAAACAAATACATTGTGATGTATTTCTGACAAGGACTGATGTGATTCTGTGACTGCCACCGTTCTCTGCTCACTCCTCTCTACCACCTTCCCTCCAGGAGCCCCAGAGCTAGAAAAAGGCTTAGTTTTAAGACTGAAATCAAGGACTGTGGGAGTTTATTTGCACAAATTTCCATGAAACATTAGAAGTTCAGTATAAATGCATACAAATTGGTTTATAGGCGTCTTTCTCCAGAACTCCAATCAACCTGCTTTTTAAAAGTCCACTAGTAAATGTTTGCTAATACATTCCAGAAAACTGCAATCAAACTAAGAAATCCTATAGAGCCACTTTCAATCTCTGTATCTTTCACCTCTTGCTTCTACCTTGTGGACGGCATCTCCCAGAACTCCACCTAGCCTGGCCAATGGTAAAGAATTACGGAGGATCCACGCAGCCCTACATCTAGGTTCAAAGCAGGGAAACGCTCTTCATCTGAAATCAAACTGCTCTTACCACACCAGGTCCATCGTCCAAAATACATTCCACATGCTCGGTCAATTCAGGTAATGTAACAGATTTATATTCAACAGAACTCATGGTCTGTGAACACACTTCAGACCATAGCTTTGGATTATTCTGGTTTGCTAGCCACTGACAAAACTCTGTTTGGTCACTACCAAGGATCAGTAAATCACAGTTCAGCTTTGTAGTTTAGCATCCAAAGTGAACTTCTATGTATCAGGTCAGGCTCCTCTACCTAAATATCTCTGCATTCCAAAAACCATCACAGTACATGCCCAATAATAGACTTCTAGAGAATCCTACATTCTGACGTTTTCTCTGCAGATTTTTTTGGAGGCCAATACCATGAGTTGTGTACAGTGTAGTGCTTAGACTGCTGGATCAGGATTGAGAGCACCTTGGTTCAAATCCATGAGATTCCCTGAGTGATCTCAAGTCAGTTACGCTCTTTCAGCCTGACCCGCTTGACTGGGTTGTCCTGAAGGTAAAGAGGGGAGGAAAGCCACCTTAAGTTAACTGAAGAAAGGCAGGACATAAATAGGATAAATAAATAAAAAACAGCTAAACTATCTTGGCCTTTTTAGTTTGGAAGAAAGGTTTCACACCCCCCCCCCCAGGATATTTCTTCTCAATGTCAAGGATGCCAAGTTCAACAGGCCTAAGAGGCAGGAGAGCATTTCAGCTGTCATGCAAGGAGAACATCATGTGTATGCAACACATGGCCTCCCAAAGAGATAAACCAGAGTGGACTTCCTGTGATTTCTTACAGGAAGAAGGAAGCAAGCCTTGCAGAAAGACAGAAAAGTTATTTAAATAAAGAGTGTTTTAGACGTGTTGCAGTCCAGCACCCAACATCCCCAGTTCATCGAGCCACTGTGACTGGGGATGACAGGAACTGAAGACGCGTAAACACACGTGGAGGGCACTAGTGGCGAAGGTTGCTCTTCTTTTTGTAGCAATTAGAAAATCATTCTTGAAACTCTCAGCCTGAATTATTTTCTATCCCTTTCTCTTTGAGCTAATTAATACATTTATATACTGCAAAAAGTTATGAAGTTGCCAAAAAGAGATCTTTTCACTTAACTTGCTATTAAAGAATGTAGCGTTCACTCTGCTCATGAATATTTAGGCTGAGATTTGCATAAACCAATAGGAGTTGGTGGGGGCGGAGGTAAGTGGAGATTAGAAGAAAGGAAGGTTTTACTTGAATGTTAACGACACTGACTGGGCTTTTATCACTTGTAACAATAAACTATTTCTACTTGGTTTTTAAATGAGACATTGCCTGGACCCCTGTCATTAATAGAGAACAACGTTGATGTAATCAACTGGTGGCAGCTGAATGACACGTCGCTTGTGCCCTTTGATTGGGGAAACAACCAAGGGCCATGAGGGAATATGATAACACCTAATATCAATTGTTAGGGTTTATCCCTACGCACAGGGTTTGATGTTTTAAAACACTGTTCCCACAACTGTGTTCCCACAGCTATAAATACTCAACCACACAACAAACAGCAACAGAGCATGGGCAGAGTTCCTACTCCTGTCCTCTGAAGATGCCGGCCACAGAGACTGGCGAAACAGCCCGAAAAACCCACAACAACCATTTAAAAACATTGTATAGAGGCATTGGCATTTTATTTGAATCTTTGTTTGTAATACGTACTTGTATACCATTTAATGAAATAAAACTTCTAAATAGCTTACACACAACCCTCTCCCATCACTACAGTTTAACAATGGAAATGTCTGTCCCCCCCCCCGCATATAAAGATGTCCCCCAAAAATCAAATAGGCCTATTTGATGAAGATCAGTAAAATCTGCTGGTTTTCATTTAAAAATAAATAACTCAGGAAACAAAATACACTCAATTTTTTTAACCTGTGAAACCATAAGTTCTTTGCCAACGGTAAGTTATTGCTCACAATCACTGCATAATTATCTTGCAGACAAAAATAATCTCCCAGGAACAGGAAACATTTTGAATTGTGTTACATATAAGCATAATCTTGTGTAAACCGTTGTATGTTCAATTAATCAAAATCTGGCAGTTCAGCTGGTCAGGTCATGTACCCATGCAAATCCACACACTTCAGTGAGCGAGAGTCCTGCTCCACTCCGGAAGATGGACAGCTGCCAGCAGCAGAGTGACAGACCCAAGGGCCAGAACCGCCCACTCTTCCGAACAGACACACGCACAGCCCACGCAACTCTACCTCCACACAACAGGAGCTATTATTCCATGCCACAACTATTCATTCAAGGAGCAGCCAACACACAGCCGCACAGAACAACGGAGCCAGAAGGGAACCACAAAGGCAACTGAATCCAACCTTTTGCGGCAGCGTCTTCCCTGTTTAGCCTGGGAAAGGGGGAAAGTGGAAAGGGCAGAGGCTAAGGAGGCACCACCATCATCAGAACAACACTGCACATGGAGGAGGGTTGTGCACCATTGGTCTGCCCTGGTTCTGAAGCAGCACCATGACAGTCGTTTTCAGTGACAGGGCCCAGATCGGAAATAGGCAAAATTACCTTTGGAATATACAGAAAGACATTTCCTTCTAAATGAGTTATCAGAACATATTGGGAAGATCAGAGAGTACCCTTGTTTCTTGCAAAGTTCTGAGCCCCTTCTATGAGTAGACAAGGCATTTAAGAAAAGGAAGAGAAACTTTGATGAAGTGCTTTTTCATTTCTCACACATTTAATGGAATCTATGCCTGCCTAAGCTCTACTCCACTCAGTTTTATCTCTGTTTATACATGTGCTGTTCATTAATCTATGAAATCCCAGGCCTCAATCTTCTCTGTGGCATAAACCTTACTGTAAAAGTAAGACTTCCTTTGCTCTCTCTATGTGTGTGCGTGTGTGTGTGTGCGCGCACACTTTCCTGCACATTTTATAGGATTAACCTACCATACAGGGTTTCTTTAAAGACTGCAACACAAACTGAAACACAGTCCAGAATATGTGGGTGAATAGTAAGGAGGAATGGCTATCTTGGCAGATCATGCGAAGACAAGAACCGCTGGAAAGGCAAAAAATGCTAGGGAAAAGAGGAAGAGGCAACAGGAAAAGAGGAAGGCCAAATATGAGATGGACCGACACCCTAAAGGAAGCCATAGCCCTGAGTTTACAAGAGCTGAAGCAGAGCTGTTGAGGGCAGGACATTCTGCAGCGCACTCCACTCATAGGGTTGCCGTATGTCGGAGGTGACTTGACAGCATGTAACAGCAACCAATCTTGGCACTGAGACCCCTCCAACTCCACTACCACACACAAGTGATACAGGTGGCACTTGCTGCCAACCGGGCATCTACAACACAGGACTGCAACTTCGGTGGCAGAGTCTCCATGTGCCCATTCCAGTGAATACAGAAACCAGACAGCCTGTTTCTCCCGGACAGCAGGAGAGGCAGGCCAGGACATACAAGGACCATCACATCCACACCTTGACAACATTATCACCACAGGATACTCTGAGCCCCAACAGAGAGACAAAAAGGAAGCCAATATGGTTAGAATCAAGGTTCCCTCTAAGGTGAGTGCCTGCGTGACTCTGCCCCCCTCCATGCACCCACAGCAATACTTTCCAGCCCCTTTGGTTCCAGTTGTGATGGGGGGGGTATGTGCATGGGGGGGTAGAGCCCTACCCAGCAGCCCCTTTGGTTCCAGTTGTGACAGAACTCCACGTGTGTGTGTGTGTGGGGGGGTAGAACCCTACCCAACAGGGTTGAAAATAAGAGGGAACCTTGGTTAGAATGCCTGGCTCTTACTTGGCACCCAGGGGGTTAAATCCACAAAAGGTTTTGATACTCAGTGGACAGTCTGGGAACAGTCTCACCCGCTCAGCCTCACCCCACTTCACTGTGTTGTAAGGAGATAAACGACAAAAGGAAGAGTGACTTTCATGCGGCTTCAGCAAACTGCCAGAAAGGCAGGACGTAATGTAATACAACCAATAAGCCAATTTGTAAGGGACCCCAAAACACCTTTGCATAGGAACAAGGAAACACCACATATGGAAATACAGTGGTACCTTGATTTGAGAATGTCTCTACATAAGAACAATTCGAGTTAAGAACAGCTCCGTTCGCAAAAAGTTGCTCCGACTTGAGAACGGAGCCTCTACTTAAGAATTTTTTTTAAAAAAAGTGAAAAAACCTTTCCTGCCCTTTTTTTGACCTAAGTTCACCTTAGGTCAAAAGAAGAAGAAAAATAAAAAAAAAAATTCCCCCCCTAGTGGTAGAGACGGATTAACCAGCTTTGCATTCGTTCCTATGGGAATTAATGCTTCGATTTAAGAACAGTGCCTCGACTTAAGAACGAAAAACAGCAGATACGGATTAAATGGTTTTCAATGCATTCCTATGGGAAGCGGTGCTTTGACTTAAGAACGTTTCAACTTAAGAACTCAGTCCCAATACGGATTCAGTTCTTAA